CTTCAGAATTTAACTCAAATGTCTCTTCCACGTAGAAACCTCACCTACTCCAACACCATGTCAGTCCCCATGTGGTATTCTCTCATGGCTTCCCATAACTTTTCTTTCACAGCATTTATCATAGTCCATGATGGCTTCTTTGTGGGATGATTTGATTATTATTTGCCTTTAATACTAGACTGTAAGTTCCTTGGATTAAGGAGCTTCTTTGTCTTGTTAACAGCACTGTTTCAAGCACATTGTCTTATATATAGTGGGACCTCAATAAATATTTGGAGAATGAATAACTATTAAATGCATGCATCAATAGTGAAGTTTCCATAAGTGCACTTAACTGCTAAAATGCTGTCAGCACTGCAATTTATAGTGCTAATAGCCACTGTCTTTCTTTTTTTTTTTTTTTCTGAGACAGTGTCTTACTCTGTTGCCTGGGCTAGAGTGCTGTGGCATCAGCCTAGCTCACAGCAACCTCAAATTCCTGGGCTCAAGCAATCCTTCTGCTTCAGTGTCCCAAGTAGCTACGACAACAGGCATGTGCCACCATGCCTGGCTAATTTTTTCTATATGTTTTTAGTTGGCCAATTAATAGTCTTTCTATTTTTAGTAGAATATTAATTCTTCGGGGTCTCACTCTTGCTCAAGCTGGTTTCAAACTCCTGACCTTGAGTGATCCTCCTGGCTTGGCCTACCAGAGTGCTAGGATTACAAGCATGAGCCACCACGCCCGGCCACCACTGTCTTTTTTAAGGGTTGAGAAAAGAGGCCTAAGCATGGATTGCTGGGCAGATGTGCAGGGTGGTAACTGGGACCCACAGGGCCCACTCATACAGATCTGCTCGTCCAAGAGGTATCTCTGCCTGTGAATGGGGAAAGAACACCCTTGTAGTTACCCACTTTCCTGGGACATAAGTCCTACCATGAGGGGAAAAGATGGGGATGTGTGATCCCACAAATTGATCCTTCAGCCTCAGAGCTGGAAGAATTCTTCCACACATTCTCTAGTCAGCGATTTCTTCTTAACCCTTCAAGGCAAACTTAAAGGTTACCTCTTGTGAGATGCCCTTCTTCATTTAATAGTCAGGACTCTTGTAGTTGAAAGTACCAGAAACCCAATTCCAAAGAGATTGGGCAAAATGGAAAATTTATAGGCTGGGCATGGTGGCTCACGTTTGTAATCCTAGCACTCTGGGAGTCTGAGGTGGGAGGATTGTTTGAGCTCAGGAGTTTGAGACCAGCCTGAGCAAGAGTGAGACCCCATCTCTACTAAAAAAAAAAAAAAAAAAAGAAGAAATTAGCTGGACAACTAAAAAAAAAAAAAATATATATATATATAATTAGCTGGGCATGGTGGCACATGCCTTCAGTCCTAGCTGCTTGGGAGGCTGAGGCAGGAGAATCGCTTGAGCCCAGGAGTTTGAGGTTGCTATGAGCTAGGCTGATGCCAGAGCACTCTAGCCTGGGCAACAGAGTGAAACTCTGCCCCAAAAAAAGAAAAAGGAAAATTTATGGGCAGAATATCACATTAACCCATGTAACTCTGAGAAGATCAAGGGCAGCTAGGCTTAAGAAACTCAAACACTTGGCATCACTTAATGTCCAGACTAACAAAAAACATAAATAAAACAAATAAGAATAGGTACTAGAAATATTTTAAAATATAAAAAAGATCGTGTGTCGGGCAGGTGGGAGGGGGGAGGAGGGATGGGTATATACACATACATAATGAGTGTGATGCACACCGTCTGGGGGACATGCTTGAAGTTCTTACTCGAGGAGGGGGCAAAGGCAATATACATAACCTAAACACTTGTAATCCCATAATATGCTGAAAAAAAAAGAAAGAAAAGAAAAGAAACTCAAACACTGCCCAGAATCACTGTCCCTACCTCTTTTCTTTGCATGTCCAAATCATCCTTAGTCCTGCTTCTTCCACAAAGTAGGAAGCTTGGCTGCCAGGAGCTCCCATGTTGCATATCATGCAGCTTCACTACCAGAGGGAAACTGACTCTCTTTTCTTATTTCCAATTTGAAAAATCCTGGCAAAGAATCTTTTGACCTATTGCTAATGGCCAGGGCAGAAGAATCACATGCCATAGATATGGCCTTTAGGGGCTAACACTTAGTTTTGGCATGGTTCCCAAAGATGGGGTCAGATTCCAAATCTGTAAGTGGGGGATTAGTTATTTCTTCCAGAGCGCAGCCCAGCAGACTGTTCGGGCTTAATCTTCGGGATTCCTCAGATTGTGAGTGGCAGGGAGGGTCTCAGAAGAGATGCTTAGCTGGGCTGTACCACTGGGTTGTAAGAGGGGCTTTCTACTTAGAGCAGAGATTTTAGATGTCACTAGTATCCACTTTGTCCTCCTGCAAAAAGTAAACCCCTAATTCTTAGCTTAATCCATAGCCAACAAGATAGAGACTATTTCTCAGTCTCCTTGTTCCAACATGGCCAAGAGATGTTTTTGCCAATGGGATATAAACAAAGAACGTATGTACATCTTGTAGGAAATATCTTCAGAGGCAGATGGTATGCCCTTCTTTTTCCTCTCTGTGGCCTGGAATGTAGACATGATAGCTGGATTTGGAGCAGCTTTTTCTGTCCTTGAGGAGAAACTGTGATGAAGATGGCAGAGTAACAATATATAGAAGGATTATGGTGCTGTCACTGCATAGGTCTATGCGTGAGAGAAATTAATTTTTGTCTGCTTATGCTACTGTCATTTTTCTGTCTTTTACAGCCAAACTTAATCCTATATCATTCATATGCAAGAGAGAAACAAGCTGATCAATAACAGTAGAAGACCCTACAGTTGACCTCCTAGTCCCTGCCACCTGTGAATCTATCAGCAACAGTTCCTGCCTGGTGTTCCCATTTCAGTTGTCCAGGGAATGTAGGTTCCTGCCTTCCTTGCCCTCATTGTTCTTTCAGACATGTGTTTTTCCACAGAGCATTTTCTGTCCTTTCTGCCAACCCTAGGGCAGGAATCTGCCTGTGAAACTGCTCCTACCTGGCTAGCCTCTCTCCTTACACCCTTCTCCTGCCACTATTATCAAGAGGCTCCTCCCATAGGCTTTGGCCAAAAGAGGGTATTTGACATATACCACATGCTGGATTCTTTGGTGGGATTTCTGAATGTTGTGTGTCTCTGTGGGCCATTGTGTGAATGCATGTGTGTGGTGTGTGCCTGGGGCTGTGTCTAACGTCAAAATATTAAAACAACCAGTCAGAGTGGGTGTTGATCAGAAGAGCAGAGCAGGGTTTGGAATTGATCCTGCTGTGCCAAGAATTAACCCTAGACACTGGACACTGAGTGACCCAGGAGTTTCCAGGAGACAATCTGGGTGGCCAGGGTTCAGGGGGCCTCTCAAAGGGCTTAGGGCAGCACCTGTTTTCAATTGTTGAAAACCTACTTCAGTTTTTATAACCAGCAGTTTAGCTGTGATGTGTTCACTGCCCTAATATCAACTCTCACTATGTCACGTGTGTGTATGTATATGTGTGTACATCTCTGAGTGCTGATACAGCCCAGGAGAAAGCCATGAGGAGCGTAGGATGACCCTAATGGGGGGTTTCTGAGGCTGGGCCATGCATCCTGGCAGTGGCAGAGAACACAGATCTCACCTAGGTTCTTGGCTTGAGTGACAATGTGGGCTGGGGCAAATGAGCACTTGGGTCACGGGCTGGACTCTCAAATAGGTAGAAGGTAACTAGGACCTCTGAGGGGACGTGTTACAGGGTTGAGGAGCACTAGAGGAATGGAGAAGAGCTGTACATCAGATTCAGGGGATCTGTCCTCCACGCCCCTACCTCAAGCCACCTCCCTAGAGTCCCCAGAAACACTGGCCCACTTTACTGAGTTGGGCTGGATCTTTTATTTCTACTTTATTATTTTATTTATTTTTTGTAGAGATGGATTCTCGCCATGTTGCCCAGGCCGGTCTTGAACTCCTGGCTTCAAGCAATCCTCCCACCTTGGCCTCCCAAAGTGCTGGGATTATAGGCGTGAGCCACTGTGCTTGGCCCTCAATGTTTTAACTCAAGTCATATCTTCTCCATGCCCACCACTGTTTTCTAGCCCAAAACTTCATGGCTTGAGGTGCTCCTGTGGGGTCAGCATTTGCCATCCTTCATGATCTGAATGTCCTGTTTGGTTTTCCTAGGATCATAGGAGACAGGGATGAGACAACCTCCTTAGGAACTATAATGTCCCCTTCAAGGACCTGGCTCAGCCCACCCAGGCACCCTGCTGAGCCCTGTACACCCACCGCCCCCCAAGATTTCAGCTTCCTGAGCTTTCAGCCACCACTGCATGCTGATGGCTGACAGATCTGTCTCCAGCTCAGATCTCTGTTTTGTCTTTTCATGTAGCTGCCCATTGCATATCTCTCCTAGGATGTCTCAGAGGCTTAACTGTCTACAAACATCATTGTCCCCCCCCCCCAAACAGCTCCATACCCCCAACCCCCCCCTCCATCACAGCACATGGCACCACCAGTCACCCAAGCCCACAAGTTAGGAGCTAGCATGTTGCCTCCTCCCCTCACCTTTCACAGCTAGTCACACACTAAACCTGTCAATATTATTTCCAATGTATCTCCTAACCATGAGAGTCTTTAATTAGCCTGATCCTTTTCTAAACTATGAAAAGTCCTGCTGATCCTTATATTTCTTCAAATGCAAACTTTCTTTTGTGTCTTTCTAGAGCTCTGCAGCTTCCAAGGACTCTCTTCTCTTTCATGATCTCATTTAGCTCTCATGCCAACTCTGAGGGTTTTACTGGTGAAAAATCTGAGAGCAAATAGGTGACCTGACGTACCAAGGTCATGTTCAGCCCTGCTTACCTTTCTGACTCATTTCTTCACCTCTCCCCCATTTTCCCTTATAAATTTTATACTCTAGAATATCCAACTTCTTATATTTCCTCAAATACAAACATTCTTTCCCTTCTAGACCTTTCCAAACTCTCCTCCTTATACCTGGAATTATCTTCCCTCATTTCTTTTTCCTAACTAATTTCTGCTTATCCCTCAGGGTTTAGCTCAGATGTCACCTCCTCCTCGTGTCCCTGCCCTCGCCCCTTCCTTGCTCCCATGTCACCCTATGTGCTCATCTGAGCCATGATCATTCTGTGCTGCAATTGGCTGACCATCAGCCTGGCTTCCCCTTGGACTGCGTGTCCCAGGAGGCCTATGATGCTGTCTAACTTAGTATATGCTCTATTCTATCCCAGGGCTTAGCACATAGTAAGTGCTCAATAAATAATTGCTGATTGGAGAAATGAAAGAACAAATGAGGTTACCTAGCCAATTAAGGGCAGAATAAGAAAACCCAGAGTTTCTATTAGTCCTCCCTGCCTGCCACCAGCTTCTAGCTTTTCTCTGAATTATACTTGTGTTCATTCTGTGAGAGGTAAATGTCAGAGGACTCCTCAGGCCAAGCATGTGTGAAGGAAGAACCAGGTCAAATCTTGTTCTTTCAGCCTGCACCAGAGATAGGGCCCATCCAAGCAAGCCGAGGTCGGTGGGTAGACTTACAGCCGAGTCAAGCAGAGCTGGCATTCACTCTCATACGTGACCCCGTCAGTGCCACATACCAGGTTGGATGTCTGAGAACAATCTGGAGACTCCACCATGTGCTCACAGATGGGCTGTGGAAAAGAAGGGAGGCGGGGAACTCAGCGATTTGGAGGCAGTGGGGAGGAACCCAGAGGTTCTGCTTGGAACCAGAGGAGCCCCAATGAGGAGCCAGATCTAAGAATCCCCCATGTGAGTTTGGTGAACATGAAACCAACCCACTCAGGATGCCTTGGTGTGTTTGCTTGTATGTATGCACAGATACCATATGTGTGCCTGTGGCTGGGAATATACCATATATGTATCTGTGTCTGCTGAGCCTGGGTGTGTAGGCATCCAAGTGTATGCCTGCGTTTATGTCTACGCGTGTGGAGTAATTTTGGATTTCAAGCTCCTGGAACTGGTTCACATACTCCTTAGAGTTCCTGACTAGAACTTCTGCTACTGGACCACCCATCATTCCTAGGAGGCCCCTCTCTCCCCGGGTCTCCTGAACTCACCCTGGCCTGCATGATATATCAGGCCCTTGGCAGGAAGGCTGCACAGAGTGGGAAGGCTGGAGAAATGGGGCAGGGCTTGAGGTTTAATTGAGGTTCAGGCTGAAAGGATTTCAGGTCAGGCCTGAGGTTAAGGTCAGAACTGGGTCAATACTGGGTTTGGAGCCTGAGACAAGGTAGGTTGAGGGAGGCAGTGTGGTGTAGCAGTAAAGGCCTGGGCCCTAGAGACCTGAATTCTGCCACTGATTAGCTATGTAACCTTAGATGAGCTGTTTCTACTCTCTGAGCCTCAGTGTCCTCATCTATAAAAATTATAAATAATAACAGTGTTCCTCTCACATAAGTTTAATTGAAAGAATGTATGTAAAGTATTTGGCTCTTTGGCACCAAGTAAGCTGGGTTATGTTGGACTGATGGGGAAGATGCTACTAGATGGGAAGGTGGCCCTGAGCTTCCTCATTCACCTGTGTGAAAGGGTAGGTGGAAGATCTCAAGGATGCTAGCACCTCTACCTTGGGATGCAGACCTAGGACCAAGGTAGACTCGGGTTCAGGGACAAATTGGTGTTTGTGCAATCAGAGTGAAGGGATGAATGACAGAATGAGGTTGGGAAGGCTGGCACACTCTACAGGCCCATTCAGTGTGCCAGAGTCACCTCTTTGGCCTGAACCCTGTGGCCTGACTGCCTGCACTACACAAAGCAGAGAGCACACCTGTCCTGCTGAGCCCAGGTGGGAAGATCTCAGTGATGGAAGGAGCCTTGGAGACCAGCCAGGGTATAGACCTCCAGGGCTTTGAGGCCAGGATACAGACTTTGTTTGGCAAAGGGGCTGGGCCTACTGGAGGGGCTAATCTGGCAAACATGTAGGCTCAGGAGGTCACCCTGGCCACCTTGGAGCCATTGAAGGTGTCTGAGCAGGAGCATGGAGAAGAATAATTATCACTGGTTACTCAACATGGATGAGAAGACTCCTCTCTGCAGAGGGAAGGCCAGAACAGCAAGCAGCTGCCTTACCATTCTTGAGAAAGTGAGCTTTCCTGCTGACACTGGCACTTCTGAAAGACCAAAAAACAACAAAAAAAAAACAAGAATTAGATGATATTGGCTCTAGGCCCCAGGTCCAGGGGGCTGAGGACAGCTTCTTTTTCTTCAGGGGTGTTGGCCCAGCCTCTACCCAATCTGGAACTCCTCAAGGAAAGACAGTGAGCTGCCAGACAATGGGGCTGTCAGAAAGCTGATGTGGTCCTGGATTACATGAATAGAGACAGAAAGTTTAGAATTAGAGAGATGATGGTCCAGCCTATTCCTGACTAGTTATATCCCACTGGAATTATGTCTCATAGAATAATAAAAATAACAATTCAGCAGTTTTTATGTGCCAGGCATTAAGAATACATGATTTTAACTACTCCTCACACCTCTCTTGCTACTGTGAAACAGAGGGAAGAAGGAGGCAGAGGTGGATGCTGTGTGGTCTGCTACCCAGAGCCCACCTGCAGGGCTGAGGCACTCATTCTCCAGCTGCCAGGAGTACTGACCGCTCACAGCCAGAACTTTCGTAGGACTTGCCCTCAGAGCATGGAGCTGCCTTGCCCAAGGTTGCATCCCCTACCCAGGAACGGCCCATATCCATTGACAGGCTAATATGGGTACAAAGGCCCTGACCTTTGTCTGAATTGTTCTCAATTTAGAACAATGCTGAAGGGCCAGCCCAGTGCCAAGGCTCCCCGTAGGACCCTCTGAAGCCTCTTGCACTGCATCACAGTCAGCCTCCCTCACCCTCATGGGTGCGACTCCCGTGAACACTCCCTGGCAAACTGCATGCATCACAGAGGCTGTTTCCTGGGGCATTGGGCCTATGAAAGACACTCAAAGAGGTAAAGCGATGCTGGTTGTTAAGGCAGAGCGAGGATTTTCACACGGGGCTGTCATTCTCCAGGGCCTGACTCTTTCTACGCACACAGTTGTGCCCTCAAGGTCTGGCTGAACTGCTTGTAGGACATGAGCAAACTGTGAAGTGACTTTGCGAGTGTGAAGGGTGGATGAGGGAACTGGAGCCATACCTAATGGCATAGGTGGAGGGAAAAATGTGTAACTTAGAGAAGGGCAGGATGCTTCCTGAGGTCTCTGAAGGGCTGTCCCGGAGCTGAGGTAGAGATGGACCATTCTCTGCCCCACAGAGCAGAGCCCATCTGTGTAAAGAGGCAGCATGGAGGCAGGTTTGGGTTCCATATGAAGCAGAATTTTCTCTCAGAGCTATGCCACAATGGAGGAGGCCATCTCCAGAAGCACAGTTCCCCGTCACAGGAGGTGTGCAAGGCAGTGTGGTTTTACCTTCTGGAGACGCTGTCACGAGAGATTTCCAAGGCAGAGGGAGAAGGAGAAGGGAACTGAGACTGTCACCTCTGATGTGCTGGTTAAGCCTGACATTGGGGCATCAAAATGCAAATCTGGATGTGTCACTGCACTGCTTAAAACCCTTCCATGTCATAATTGCCAAAACTAAAAGTGACCCAAATGTCCTTCAACAGGAGAATGGATAACTAAATACAGTGAGGTACTACTTAGCAACGAAAACAAACAGGCAGTTGATGCACACAACATGGCTGAATCTCAAAAACATTATGCTGAGCAAAAGGCCAGGCAGGAAAGACTACAAACTGTATGATTCTATTTAAGGGAAATTCTAGAACAGGCCAAGTAATCTATGGTGGAAAAAACAGAGCAGTGGTTGCTCTTGGGGGTGGCAAAGGGGTGGAGATTGGCCTGAGGGAAATTTCTGGGGCAATGGAATGTCCTATGTCTTTATAAGGTTTTGAGTTCACAGGTATATATTAAATACATTGTCAAAGCTCATTGATAAGATTCACTGAGTGATAAGATTTGTGAATTGCATGGTACATCACTGTTAGGAGAAATAAAAGCATTGAAAAAAAGTACATATATATATAAAGCCTTTCCATGTTTGCCCTGTTGTGATCACTAAGCCTCCCTATGGACCTGAGCTCATTAGTCTTATGTTTAGGGCACTGCGTGAACTGACCTTAAATTTGCTCCTTGGGCTCACTTTCTAGTACTTCTTCTGTCCCTCAGACCCAGCTACTCCTCTCTGCTTACTGTTCCTGGAACACTCTGCTTTGGCTCATGTGGTTCCCCTCACCTGAAATGACCTCACCCCTGTTCTCCTCCTACTGAATCATACCCTCCTTTCCAGGTTCTGATGCTGCCTCCCATGAGGCCTTCCTGGATGTCCCCCATGGTTTCCTGAGAGGACTTGGATTTACACTTCCTTCATGCCAACATGTCTGTCTTACTCGCAGGTCACCCTGCCTCTCTGTGGACCTGAGCTCCTTGGGGTTCCTTTATTTCTGTCCCCAGTTTATTCTCAACATATCAACCACAGCAATCCTTTAAAGACATAACTCGCTGCTCCCATTTCACTGAGAGGAAAGGCCAGGTTCTCTCACTGGGCTGCAAGGCCTTACCCAGTATGGTTCTCAGTTGCCTCTCTCATCTTTCCTGTCATTCTGCACTGGGTTCCCTCCAGCCACACTGGCCTTGCAGTACCTCAGACACTCCAGGCATGCTCCCACCTCAGGCCTTTCCACTGGCTGTTCCTCTGCCTGAAACCCTCTTCTTCCAAACATCCACACAGCTCACTCCCTCACCTCCCTCAAGGTTTACTCAAATATCAGCCTGTCAGAGAGACGTCCTGTAATTTGAAACTGCAACCTGCCCCCAATCCCTATAATTCCTCAGCCTTTATCACCCTCTAATACACTGTTTCACATACATCGTACCTGTCTTGTTTATTGTCTTTCCCCTTCTCCCCTGCCCCACTGGATTTATGCTTCATCAGGACAGTTCTTTGTTTTGGTCACTGATGTGTCTTAAGGGCTCAGAAAAGTGCCTGGCACAGTAGCTGTGAGACTGCAGAGGTGTCCCAGGTCCTGAGGAGGCCCCACTCTGAGTATATGTGTTCAGCCCCCAGCCTGGCTCCCAGGCAAGGGCTCTCGTGCTCACAGGGTTGCCCTCAGTCCCAAACCACAGTGTGTCAGAGCAGAATAGAAGCTCAGAGGACCAGGTCTCTTAGCACCACCACCCTGCAGCTAGCGTACTTCTCTGTCTCCCCTGAGGGCTGGGACCCAACTGCTCTCTTCTGCCTCCCCTACTGCCAGCCCACTGGTTGCTCAGCGCAGCTTTGAACTGGAACAACTCCTACTTTACAGCTGGAGAAACTCAGGGTCCAAGAGGAGGGGGGACTTCAGTCATTCTGGGCCAGAGTCGGGATTAGAACTCGTTTCTTTTCTCCCAGCCCAAGGCTTTCCCCACCACAGTGGAGGGTGCACGGGCAGAATGAAGGTGTACACAGAGAGCCTGGGCCACACAGGGTACTCCAGGCTCTGCTCTGCCCCCACCCCCAAGCTCACCTGCCAACACCAAACCACAGAGAATCCAGGCCTGCCTACTCACCCCTGTCCACGATGAGGAGGGTAGCCAAAGCCAGGGTCACCACCCACTGGTGGATGGCCATGCTGATCCTGGGATGGTGTGGCCTGAGCTGGAGCCTGGGCTGGGGGAAGGATGGGGCCTGTTTATAAAGCTGATCCCCACCCTTATCTTATCTGGGGCCGGATGGAGAGGCCACAGTTAATCTCTGCATCCTGGCATCCGGGAGGGCTTGCTCCAGGCAGAGATGCTGAGCTCCTGGCTAGATGGGGCTGTGGCTGTGGGTTGGCAGATGTCTAGAGTGAGAAAAATCTTGGACAACTTACAAAGCTGACTCTGGTCTGAGGGCTGGGACACGGAGAGGAAAGTTGAAGTAGAAAGAGAAAAAACAGAGACCAAGGCAGAGAGAGGGAAAGGGAAAGTGAGAGAGGCAGAACAGAAGAAGAAGAAAAAGCAGCAACTGGAAGCTGGCAGGAGGCAGAGAAAGGGGCTGGAGCCAGGGTTCCTTTGGCAGCGTCTCCTCCAACCACTCTGGGACCTCAGAAAAGCCACTCTTTTAGTTTTATTTTTTATTTCAGACTATTATGGGTGTACAAACACTTTGGTTACATAAATTGCCTTTGCACTGCCCGGCAAGTGTGTCCATCCCCCAGACAGCACGCCACCACATCGTTAGGCGTGGGTTTACCCGTCCCCTCCCCTCTCCTGCCCAACACCCTATGAATGTTACTTCCTATATGTGCGTGTTAGTGTTGATCAATTAGTACCAATTTAATGAGTGAGTACATGTGGTGTTTGTTTTTCCATTCTTGTGATACTTCACTTAGAAGAATGGAGCCACTCTTCTTAACTGGACCTCAAATGACCCATGCATGAAGTGGGGATGATCGTTCTGGTTCTGCCTTCTTCCCAGGGCTGCTGTGAGGATGTGGGTGGTGATAGCAGATGGGAAAACATTTTGCAGAGTATGAAAATGAGGCATGAATATAAGTAGCAATGATTCTTTTTATTTACTTTTATTCATTTTTTTGTACCATAAAGTAGATGCAACTAACAGACAAACAAAGGCAAAAAAAGCATATTAAAAGGAAGATGCCCTCATGCTTTTCAGGTATTATATGTTCATTTGCATTTCAGTATGTTAAATACAGATAAGATTCCTTTAAAGAAAAATCAATATCTAAAATGTCTCCATATTTATACAGTGGATATGAATGATTTGGTTATCTGCTTTCAAAGAATTTCTGATTTATAAAAAAATTTTATTTATATATGCATTTCTGTAATTCATTTAGATAAGTGATTTTCAACTCTATCTGCAGATTAGATTTCCCTGGGAAGAATTTAAAAATATAGTTACTGGCCGGGCGCAGTGGCTCACGCCTGTAATCCTAGCTCTCTGGGAGGCCGAGGTGGGCGGATTGCTCGAGGTCAGGAGTTCGAAACCAGCCTGAGCAAGAGCGAGACCCCGTCTCTACTATAAATAGAAAGAAATTAATTGGCCAACTAATAATTATATATATATAAAATTAGCTGGGCATGGTGGCGCATGCCTGTAGTCCCAGCTACTCGGGAGGCTGAGGTAGCAGGATCACTTGAGCCCAGGAGTGTGAGGTTGCTGTGAGCTAGGCTGACGCCATGGCACTCACTCTAGCCTGGGCAACAAAGCGAGACTCTGTCTCAAAAAAAAAAAAAAAAAAAAAAAAAAATACAGTTACTGAACTTCACTCAGAAATATTTAGACGACCTGGAATCCTAGCATTCTGGGAGGCCAAGGTGGGAGGATTGCTTGAGTTCAGGAGTTCAAGACCAGCCTGAGCAAGAGTGAGGTCCCAGTCTCTACTAGAAATATAAAAATTAGCCAAGTGTCGTGGTGTGTGCCTATATTCCTACCTACTCTGGAGGCTGAGGCAGGAGGATTCTTTGAGCCCAGGAGTTTGATGTTGCAGTGAGCTCCGATGATGCCACTGCACTCTACCTAGGGTGACAGAGTGAGACTCTGTCTCAAAAAAAAAAAAAATTTAAAATCTCAGTGTTTTTAAAACATCTGTGTGTTTGAAAGATTACAAGCCTACAGCTAAATTGTGAGAATAGTACAATGAGTCCATGAGAAGGCTGCTTGCTCAAGAACAGCCCCTTTGGGAGCACTAGGCAGACAGACAGTCACCTCCGCAGAAGCCCAGATCTGTGGTCAAGCCCTTCCTGAAGCCCCCAGTGATCCTTAACTCAGCTTCAAGATCCTCCTGCCCCTCCTCAGGAACCTACACAGGTCTTACAGGTGCCTCTGAAGCAGGTGGCAGATGCCTTCCATTGATGAGCCAGGCAGAGCAAATATTTAATGATGATTTCCTGTCCTAAAGCAAGAACATCATCTCACAAAGGGAGGGGAAATTAAAGGTCATCCACATTGTCTCCCATCTTCAACTTGGGCCTTTCTCCAACAACTCCACTATGAGGTCATTCATCCTCCAATGATTGGGAGCTCACCACCTGCCAGTTTCAGGCTGGGTGCAGTGGCTCATGCTTGTAATCCTAACACTTTGGGAGGCTGAGGTGGGAGGATTGCTTGAGGCCAGGAGTTTAAGACTACGTGCCAGTTACATTGTTGGATGGCTTTGAACAAAGAGAGTCCTTCTTCACAGGAGAGGTTGACTTCCCTCAGACTCCTTGGCGGTCCCAGCTTTGTCCTGTACCTGCAGGTGAAGCCCAGGTGAGCACCTCCAGGCTGAGCAGGTCCAGCCCTCTCCAGCCCTGTCTCTGGCCTCCCACCTTTGCATATGACGAAGTTCCCGGGCCTCTCTTCATTTCTGCTGGTGTGCCAGGTTACAGTGAGAAAGGGACAGGGAGGAGCAAAGGGGTTTTTCTTCTCCCTTGTTTTGGACCTTAGACCTCTATCAATGTGGCAGGGAATGGCTGTTGATGATTCAAGCTGCTGCAAGGGACTAGAAAGCTTGACTCTCGCATCCTTCAAAGTAGAGAGCAAAGTCTAGGGCAGCCAGTGGAGTGCAGAGCCCCACTACCATTCCACCCTGCTCCAGGTCTCTTTCCTCAGACAAAAACATCCTAGATTCACTCATGATAGCAAACTTCCTAATCTGTCATCCCCTCAAAGCATGAGCCTAACTCCTACATCCAACTGCTGTTGGGCAGCACCACTGTGGATGTCAGGGCATCCAAGTAAATTTAGTTCATTAATTCACATTCATTCATCCAGTCAGTAAGAATTTAATGAGCAGCTCAGTGCCACGCTCCATGCTGAGTGCTTGGCCAGGGCAGGGAGTAAGTCAGACACAGTTCTTTCCTCACAGAGCTTGAGGTTAAGTGGGGTGACAGATACTGGACGAGCAGCAGAACCGTGTCATCACTGTTGGAGTGAGTCCCATGAAGGAGACAGGCTCAGTGCTGTGAGAGGATCCAAGCTGACCTATCCATCTGGGAGACCAGAGAAGGCCAGCGGGCGGGAGGGCGGGGCAGGCGGAAGCCAAGCAGAACAGTGCTGCAGGCCGAGGACACAGAACTGTGAAGGCACTGAGGCAAGAAGCAGCTTGCCACATCTGAAGAACAGAGAAGCCATTCTGGGAGGGAGAGGTCAGAGAGGCAGGGAGGAGCATGAGAGGAGCCTGGAATGGTCAGTGGGGGCCAAATCAGCTTTGGTCTCTGCTCCCCTGCCCCATGTCCCAATGACTTCTAGCAGTGGAATCCCGGGACCTGACCTTTTGCCTTTCTACTGAGTGCATAGGTTCTGCTTCCTATCCTAAATAGCTCTTTTCTTTTTTCTTAGAGTCTTGCTCTCTCACCTGGGCTAGAGTGCAGTGGTGTCATCATAGCTCACTGTACCTCAAGCTCCTGGGCTTAAGCAATCCTCCTGTCTCAGCCTCCCTAGTAGCTGGGAGTACAGACATGTGCTACCATGGTTGGCCAATTTTTCTACTTTTTGTAGAGACGGGTCTTGCTTTTTCTCAGTCTGGTCTTGAACTGCTGGCCTCAAGTAATCCTCCTGCCTCAGCCTCCTGATGTGCAAGTGCAAAGTGCTGAGGTGGGAAAAAGCTTGGTGTGCTCAGGAAGTAAGTGCCAAGGATTCCATTATGGCTAGAGTGGAGTTAACAAGGAAGTGAGTGGCAGGAGCTGAGGGCCAGGTCATACCAAGGTCTGAGGCCAGCCACCAACTTGAGTGAACTTGAATGCATCCCTTCCCTTTTTGGGCCTGGACATGTTCTCCCATGTGGGAAATGGGCTCACCAATACATACCATCACCAGCCTACCTCCCAGGGCAGCTGTGAGGACCCTGGAGAGGAGCATGTGAGACGAGATGTGTGCAGCCACTGTAATTCCAAGGAAGGGGCTTGGGTGGGGAAGCAGAGCAGAGGCCAACGCCTAAGGCCTGGGCACCTACACAGGTACTGGGATCAATATGCTTAGGACAGAGATGGCCCAAACTGGGCTCAGGCAAATAAACTGGAGGATTCCTCTATCTCCTGCCCCAGGTCAGAGCAAAGATCTGAAACCTGCACCTTATCTGGGCCAACACTCCCCAAGCTCACGCAGCAGCCTTCACGCCATCTGCACAGACCTGGACTGGTGCCCAGCTCCTCCAGGAACACAGCCACTCCTTGATGACGACAATGCTGGATTCATCAGCTCTGAGTCACTGGTCTTGCTGATGGGTGGAGGGAACAGTAGCCTTGTTTGCCTTACGATGGATGAGCTGAGCTCAAGCAGGCCTTGGGCCTGCCAGATGGCATGGCCAACACAGCCAGCTTGCCACTGGACCACCTTCCCCAGTCCTCAGCCCACATCCTGCTCCACCCTTCCTCCAGCCACAAGTGCCCCCACCTGCCAATATACCTGTATAGTCAACCCAGGTGTGGACCTCCACTCTGGGGAGACCTGGTCTGGAGCCAGCCAGATCCATAGCTTGTCCTGTCCTGGGCTTCTCAGCCACCCAGCTCCACATCCCAGGTCTAGAGCCCATTCTGCCCATTCTGCCAAGTCTAGAGCTGCAGGGTCCTCACATGGGGGCAGTGAGAGGAGACTCCTTTAAGGGGAGATTTCACCTACTTTGGGGATTTGACTCCAAGGAGAACTTGGTGATGAGATGGGCTGAAGTCATCCCTCCCTGGATGGACCCACCCTGATGTTCAGTGGACATTTACAGAGTACCTATTATGGGGCACCAGTCACTGTGCCAGCTCCTGAGACTGCAGAGATGAGTAAGACATGGAGCCCTATGTTCAAGGAGCTTCCAGTTCACAAGTAGTAGGGAGGTGGAATAGACACATGAGCAGGTATTTAGAAAATGCTGTGGTCAGAGCAGTGATGAAAATAGTGGTAGAGATATTCCTTCCACCTTGGTATCCTATGGACCTGTTGCTCAATATGTCCAAAATTCAACCTATCATCTCCTCTCCACCCAGAGCTGCCCTGCCTCCCAGTTCCCCAACCTGGGTGGACAGTACCACTGTCATCCTTGTGCCCTACACAGAATCATCCTGAACTTCTTCCTTGCTTTTGCATTCAAGGAATCAGGTCTTACTGATTTCACCTCCTCACCACTTCTCATATCCATCACCTCCTCTATGTTTCCTCTAGTCCAGCCCCCATGACCTCTCACCTTTGTTATTTATGTTGTCTCCGTGCCTCCAGTCTCACCTCCTCCAATTCATCCACCATTCTGCTTTCAGAGTAATCTTTCTGAAATGCAAAAATGACCACATCATCCCTCTGTGTAATAATATTCAATTATGATTGATCATTCAATTAAAATTATTCAATCACTATTGACCTGAGGATGAAAACCAAACTCTTTGGTATGACATACAAGTTCCTCTATGACTGGTCCTTTGTTGGCCTCTCTAACTTCCACTCTGACCATTTAAGCCTTCACTCCATCAGACAGAATCACCCGCAATCTTTCATACCTCTAAGCCTTTTCTCATGCTGCTCCCTCAGCCTGGCATGTCCCTCTATCCCCTCCCTTGGGCTCTGTTCCCAGGCTCTTGGCCCACCCCAGTCTGGGTCCCACATCTCCACAGACATCTATTCCAGCAGCACCTGTAATGGTCAATGACCTTATCTTGGTCATGTGTCTATCTCCCATTCTTCCTTAGAGAGGGACAGGGGACATCTGATTCACTTCTTATCCCCAGTGGCCATTCCTGCACAGGGCCTGCCATATGTGTGTTGACTATGTGAATTTACTTGGCAATGAATGAAACCTCAGGACAGGAAGGAGCTCAGCTCTAGATTCTCAGTCAGTTGGATCAAGGGCTTTAGGACGCATTGAGGGCCGGCTGGGCTCCAGTGGGCCCAGTGGGTCTAGCCAGTTACATCCTATGCTGTGTCTATATAGGTGGGAACACAGGTGACACTCTATTCCAAAGAACACATTTTCTACTAGTTCTTGGTCAACCTGGCTGGGCACCCCAAAACCTAGCATCTCCCCCAAGACCTAAATGTGGTGCTTTATCTGCAAAAGCTACCCCAAGACCATCTGCTGGACTCATAAGCAGCAGCTTCAGTACCTGTCCTCTCTTCTGGTGCATGGACTCCTGCCTCAATCACCTCCAACTAGGAGGAATCATCATACTGGTCCTCACACCAGGAGTGGGACTGCACAAGAGACCTGTGTTCTGGGGTCATGTACCATCCAAACATTTCCATTTATCAGCATAGCTAGTGTCCCAACTCCTCTGAGCATACATACTAAATAGCTTAGAACAAAGCCTGTCATTTCCCTTCCAGAGCTCTGAGGGTCTTTAGAAAGATCAGAGGTTATCACAGCCAGGTGCAATATGACATAACTCCAGACTGCTATTAATTCTGATAGAGTCCTTGGGTTGCAAGAAACAGAAGCAGATTTTTGCCAACTTAAGCAGAATAAGAATTTTCCATAAGGGTGTGAGGTTATCTTAGGTTGGACTCACCCAAGAGAAGACCCTGAGAAAAGGATATTAGATTCCAAGTAGTTTTTTGGGAGGTGATCCCAGGAATCACTTGCAGGAGAGTGGGAATAAGCAAGGCAGGGAAGGGAAAGGGATTGATAAAGCTTGCATTACTGAGGGTACCATTGGGGGAAACTGGGCCTCAATCCCAGCACTATTGACCTCCTCCTTTCTTGTCTCTGGGCTTCTAGAGAAAGTCTCCAGCAAAGGATTGCTGGGGTTGCAGATAGAAACTGCAGGTATGCACAGGAAAAGTGAATGGTAAGGGGTCGTGGGTAGGACTCAGTGCCTGCTACCATAGATGCACAGAGTCATGTGTCCACTTTCTGGCCAGGGAAGGTAAAACATTTTTATGGACAGTCCCACAAAGATTGTATCCAATGGGAGTGAGTAGGTCTCCAAAGCAAACTCGGGGTCCTGTTACCAAAAGGAGGAATGTTGTTGGTGAGACAAAGTCCATAGATGTCACTAAACCTTCCTTACACGCTGATCTCTCACCTGCAGGACGAATTCACTCACAGGAGCCCAGGGCTGCATAAGGCTGGACCAACAAAGGCCCCTGATGTCTCCTGGCCACAAGGGTGCTGCACAGATAACAGCTCACAGTTGGAGTGCTGAGTGCTGCCTCCCCACTGGCCTTGTGCTGTCTTAGGGGTGAGCCGAGAGGCAGCTGCGCCATCAGGCAGCCGTGCTTTGCCTCTGGAGTCTGAAGACCTAGTCTGTGTGACCTTTCAAATCATTTTCCTGCTGAACCTCTGTTCTTCATCTGTAATCAGGGCTACCATGTGTGGTTGTGTGGAATGTGTTCTGTTCATCTCCAAGGGGTGCCCTTCACATTATATTCCATGGGCACTGAAATGTGCACTGAATTGGAATGGTGGCAGGTAAGCTACCCAGCAGCAACCTTTGGAGGCCATGCAACATGGCCAAAAGATTGTGGGATGTGCTGGGAAGCACCAAAACTTTGTTTTCAATCTCCTACTCCCATGCTTCTCTTTGGGAGCTGTAATCATGCTCTCCTGCTATGGACAGGCTCACTCTTCTCTATTAGCGGAGGGAAGGTATAGCTGCAGACTGCATATCCCAACTTTGTGAACTAAAAAAAAGAGAATTTTCTCCTCTCTGTACAGCCTCCTTTAGTATAAAAACCCAAGAGAAGACTCTAATTGTACTGAATAAGACATGTGTTCATCTCTTAGACCAATCAATGTGGCCAGGGGATTGGACGTCTATCATTGGCCATGCTGAAGTCACAGCCACCCTAACATTGCCAAAGGAGGGGGACAATACAATTGGCAATTATGTGGCCTGGCAAAAGACATGAACTAAGAGCCCTAAAGGTTAAAGTCCAAATTCTTTCCTTCTCGTGATCCTCCCTTTCCATGTCCGAGGTGCCCCTGGGTTGGTTCACACCCTCTTGAGGCAGTGCACTCACTTCCAGGCAGGTGCTCTCAGCAGCCCATGGGCATTGAAGACAGGTGAAGGAGAATTCCAGTTCTCATGCGCAAAGGCACTTGATAAATATTTGCTGTGTCAGTGTATTGACAGGTGAGGCCTTAGGGCTTGTCTGCCCCTCCCTCGTGATTGTCCCTTGCCCAGCCTGCAAGCCACCCAAGACCTCTGCTGCCCTCTGTTTGTGGTGAGTGTGGTTTGGATATGGTCTTCTGCCCAACTCTTTCTTCCAGCCTTGAGGAGGGGTCTTTGTATCCTCACCAGGACAGGTTAACCTCCTTTTAACCTGTCCAGCCCTGCTGTCCTTTCCTCTCTGGGAGTGAGGACTGAGGAGGAAGGAAGGAGGCTAAAGACAGGCACTGGCCAGATGGAAAGAACAGAGGTTCTTGTTTGATTATGGTTCTGCCACTTACCAGCTGTGTGACCTTGAGTAAATTCCTTAATCTTTCTGGGTGCCAGTTTCCTCTTTTATAAAAGGGGGATAACAGCCTGGGCTCAGTGGCTCATACTTATAATTGCAGCACTTTGGGAGGCTGAAGTGGGAGGGGCACTTGAGGCCAGGAATTCAAGACCACCGTGGGCAACTTAGTGAAACTCCTATCTCTAGAAAAAATTTAAAAATTAGCCAGGCATGGTGGCGTGTGCCTATAGCCCGAGCTATTCAGGAGGCTGAGGCAGGAGGCTCGCTTGAGCCCAGGAGTTTGAGGCTGCAGTGAGTGTGAACATGCCACTGCACTCCACTCCAGCCTGGGCAACAAAGCAAAAGTGAAACTCTGTCTCTAAATTAATTAATTAAATAATTAATTAATTAAGGAAGTAACAATAGCTTCTGGATAGGATTTACAGGATAATTTTTGTTAATTGTTGTAACCCAGCTTCTGGCACACTGAGAGCTCTTCCTCGTGGTGGCTGTGGTGGTTATTGTGTTTTGTGGACTGGGTTTGGGGAAAGGGGGTACCTTTAAGGCATCAGATCTCTCCTAGGCTCCCCTCACTCAAGCCACAAATGCACTCTGAGCCCCTGCAGGACCTCCTCCTGCCAAGCCTGAGAAATGTCCTCAGGGTAAAAGAAGCCTCTTACTTTCATGATACCAGAGGTTTCCACTATCCTCAGGCGCCAAATTCCAGGACCACACGATACATGCAAGAGTCCCTGGGGTCTCTGGGTATATGGGACTTTGTTCCCTGCTCTTTCTCCCTTGCTGTCTTGCTAAAAGGTTTCCCAGGTCTAGGAGCTTAGACACCTATCCAATCCTGCTTGGCCACTCACTAGCATGGCAGGCAGAAGAATGCTCCCATCCCTCCAAACATCTATATCCTTATTCCCAAACCCGTGAATATGTTACCTCACATGACAAAAGTGACTTGGTAGCTGAGATTAAATGAATGGTCTTGAGATGGGGAGATTATCCCGGATTATCCGGGTGGGTTTGGGCCACAGCATTTCTTACAAGAGGGACGCTGGAGAGACAGCGAAGGAGATGTGATGACGCAGACAGAGGTCGGAGTGCTGTGGGCCCCTGAGCCAAGGGATGCAGGCAGCCTCCTAAGAACTGAACTCTGATCTTTTTCTTTTGCTAAAAACTCTTTCCTAAGGAGGCCAGCTGGGTCAGGCTGACAAATGGTAAATTCCTACTAAGCGGCTTTTGTTAACCAAATAAAGCGGTGGTTTACTTCCCAACCTGATTCTGGTATGGCATTAACATCATCTAAAAGATAGGAAGCCCCTGTCTTAACTCAAGCATCCTAGCAGATGCCTATCATAAATTTAAAATATCTTAACTCAAGCATCCTAGCAGGCGCCTATTGTAAATTTAAAATGTCCTCCTGTCTGGACCTCCCAGAGTGCTCATACCCTTATCTTAAAGTAAGCATATACTTTCTGGTCTTCTAGATAAAGTCTAACTCTCTCAGCCAATTGCCAGCCAAAGAATCTTTAAACCCACCTATAACCTGTAAGCCCCCACTTCGAGATGTCCCACCTTTTGGGGCCAAACCAATGTATGCCTCTCATGTATTGATTTGTGACTTTGCCTGTAACCCCTGTCTCTCTGAAAATGTATAAAACTGAACTGTAACCCAGCCACAGCGAGTCCACTTGCCCAAGGCCTCTTGGCAGTGGCTCCGGGTCATGGTCCTCAAATTTGGCTGAGAATAAATCTCTTTAAAATTATTTTACAGAGTTTGGCTTTTTTCCGTCGACACTCCCGAAGCTGGCGGAGGTAGGGACAGTTTCACCCCGACAGCCTCCGGAAGGAGCAGCCCTGCTGACCCAGCTTAGACCTGTGATCGCCAGAGTGTAAGACGATATACTTGTGTCATTTTCAGCCTCTAAGTTTGTGGTAATTTATTACAGCAGCAAGAGGAAACTAATCTACCACCAACTTCCTCACGTCTGGTAGCCCAATTCCCTCATCTTGTGAAATAGAAATAACAGTGTTTACCATGAAAGGTATCAGAATAAGTATATATTAAAAACCTGGTTCCTGACAACACTTAATAAATCATGCTGTTATGAAAAGGAGGAAGAAAGAGGAGAGGAGAAGCAGAAAGAGGAAGAAGGAAAGAGGGATGTTGGGTGGTGAAGTTGCAGCCAACCCTGCATTCTGGGCAGCGCCTGGACCCATCACTTTAATTCATTTTGACTTCAGGACACTCCCACCCCCCTTAGAAAGGTCAGGGGACAACCTCTACCAATATATCCTTCTGGTGCTTTGCCTTCTTAGCAAAAAACTGAAGGAAACAACAGATACAAGAGCCTGCCCCAGTATATGCCTCTGGCATCCCTAGTGGCTCCATCCAACCAATGGAAAACATCAGGTTTATCTTCTGACCTTTCAATTTTCCAGCTCGACCAACAGTAGCCTATGTGGGAATTTGCATGCCTGCGCGCATGTGATATCCAACTGCCTCCAGTTTCCTTTTAACATTCTAGTGGGTGTAAAATGATATCTCACTGTGGCTTTAGTTTGCATTTCCTTATAGACTAATGCTGTTGGGTACTTTTTCATGAGCTTTTGGGCTGTTCATTTATCTTTAAGTGTCTGTTCAAGTCATTTTGCCCATTTAAATAAATTGGGTTGTTTATCTTTTTATTGTTAATGTAAATGTTGGTAGATGTGTGTAAAATGATACAACAAATTTGGATAATTGTTTTGGCAGTTTTTAACTTTTATTTTAAAAATGTTTTTAGAGACAAGTTCTGGCTGCGTTGCCCAGACTAATCTCAAACTCCTTGGCTCAACTGATCCCCTAGGAGACGGAACTACAGGCACGTACCACTGCACCCTGCTGTTATGACAGTTTTAAAAAAATTTACACATCCATCCATCTACCGACAATAAATAAAAAACATACATCCACACAAAAGCTTATACATAAATATTCATAGAAGCTTTATAACCAAAACTGGAAACAATCTAAATGTCAGTTAATTGGTGCATAGATAAGCAAACTGTGGTACATCTATACAATGGGATACCACACAGAATAAAAATGAATTAACTATTGATAAATACTATAACATAGATGAATCTCAGAAATATTATTATTCATGAAAGAAGGAAAACATGAAAGAGTACACATTGTACTATTGCATGCATATAAAATTCTACAACAGGCAAAGCTAATCTGTAGTGACAGAAACAGATCAGGGGTTGCCTTCAGGATATGATGTGAGGAAGACAGGAAGGAACTTTCTGGGGTGATGGAAATGCTTTATGTATTGTTTAGAGTGGTGATTTTACTGCTGTATACACTTGTCAAAAACCACCAAATTAAATATTTAAGATCTGTGTATGTCATTGTATGTAAATTATATCTTGTTAAAAAGAAAATTGAATTATGCTTGAATTTTGAACTGCTACCACCAGGTGGCAATGGTGCCTAATTCCCAAGAGTTCAACTGTAGTTTGTGTAATGATTGTTTATTTATGAATGAGCGTCAAACAAAGTAGCAAGCATTGGTGGACAGACATGTTTATTTATTTATTTATTTATTTTTTCGACTGAGTCTCACTCCATTGGCCTGAGTAGAGTGCCGTGGCATCGGCTTAGTTCATAGCAAATTGAAACTTCTGGGCTCAAGCCATCCTCCTGCCTTAGCCTCCTGAGTAGCTGGGACTGCAGGTGCATACCACAATGCCTGGCTAATTTTTCTATTTTTAGTAGAGATGGGGTCTCACTCTTGCTCAGGCTGGTCTCAAACTCCTGAGCTCAAACAATACTACTGCCTTGGCCTCCCAGAGTGCTAGGATTATAGGCATGAGCCACTGTGCCCAGCCTGACATGTATTTTTAATTTCCATCAATAGTATTGTTTCTGTTCCTTACTCTTCCCCACCCCTCCATTCAGCACTGTGTTTTAAAGATCTATTTACCTTGTTGTGCTTATATCTATTAATAGTTCATTGCTCCTTACTGTGGTAGAATATTCCAGTAGTGTGCATACATCACATTTTACTCATATCCACTTACCCAATGATGGACGTCTTATTGCACCCAGCTCTCCATCCTTCACAAAT